AACAAAACCCAACAACGTAAAATAATATAAAAGCTTAGGAAGGTAGTCTTACATAATAACATTATACATACATGAGAGATTAAAACGTGGAGCATGCTTGATCGTTTTTAAGATACCTATTTGTTGCGTGGTGAATAAGACCCCTATGTGTTTAACTAAAATTGGTAAGCAAATCGAATGGACGCATCAACAGCCTTTCGCATTAGTATATTTGTCCAATTAAAACTGATAGGTTATATAAACTATATGTAATTGTAGATTTGTTTACATTTTTATTCTTTTGTTTACAACTTTTTTTAAAAATGTAGTTTCGTAAAAACATTATCACGGTTTACTTTTCAACTACCATTTTCTTGCAGACACAAGGGAAAATTGTACTTCCAGGATATCACGTTTTAAATGGCCGTTTTACAACTGAATCTTAATTAGCAGATTAAATGACTCCAGTTATTTATAACCACCAGGGAATGTGAATAATTTACTGTGATTTTATTAGACGCACTTCTTAGAAGTTGTAAAATATGTTTCGCTGCAATGTTAGATTTTCTTTAAAGATAAAGAAAACATGCAGGTAAAGATAGGTTGAATTGTGATAAAACAATGTCCAGATGCTAATACCTTTCCCTATACAACCAAGCGTTCTGCTAGCATTTCTTGCTGCTCTATTACATTGTCTTCCTACCTTTAAGTCATCTGAAATAATTACTCCTAAATCCCTTTCCTCATATGTTGAGGTTAGGACTCTATCAAATATTCTGTACTCTGCCCTTGGGTTTTTACGTCCAAGATGCATTATCTTGCACTTATCCACATTAAATGTCAGTTGCCACAATTCTGACCCTTTTTCTAGTTTACTTAAATCATTTGCCATTTGTCTTATCCCTCCTGGAACATCAACCCTGTTGCAAATCTTAGTATCATCAGCAAATAGACATATCTTACCATCAAATGCAAAAGAATAATAAGCGCTCTCTTCTCAGGGGTGAGCAGCAGTTCACCAACAAGGTGCTCCTCTACCTTGTGATAAATAGACAGATAAAATAGAAAGGTGAACAGCGCTAAAAATCAGAAAATGTACATACGTTTTGTAGAAATACTGGCCAGCAGAGTAACTTAAAAAAAAAAAGAGAAACAAAAATACAAATAATGGTACAGTATGTATGAACGATATAATTCCACAAGAACAAAGGTGTTATATTCACACTCACACTTTGAGGAGCTATATCAGCTCGGTGTTAAGAGCCTGGACGGAATAATCCCCGTCTATGGATTTCTTGAGGTTCAAGACCGTTGGTGAATTTATAGGTGTAAATATTCGTTACATGAAAAACAAGAGTAAAATACACCGCATGGTATAGTACGTAAATATAAAATATTGTGAAAAAAAGTGGATGATCCTACTTACATATACTAGAGCAACGACCTGCTCTAGTTTGGAGAATTTCAGGTGGAATAATCCCCACCTTGGGATATAGTGGACCCAGGTATAGCAGCAAAGCAGTATTGGATAGGAAGGAGGACAAAAGTAATGACTGGATAGTTTAAAAAATATATATACTTTAATACAATAAGTAAAAAGTGAATAATAAACTATAAAACCAGTCCTGTATAAAAGTCCAAAATTCTTCCTCACTTGACGCGTTTCGCCGAAGCTTTCTCAAAGTGAGAAAGTGAGAAAGCTTCGGCGAAACGCGTCAAGTGAGGAAGAATTTGGGACTTTTATACAGGACTGGTTTTATAGTTTATTATTCACTTTTTACTTATTGTATTAAAGTATATATATTTTTTAAACTATCCAGTCATTCCTTTTGTCCTCCTTCCTATCCAATACTGCTTTGCTGCTATACCTGGGTCCACTATATCCCAAGGTGGGGATTATTCCACCTGAAATTCTCCAAACTAGAGCAGGTCGTTGCTCTAGTATATGTAAGTAGGATCATCCACTTTTTTTTCACAATATTTTATATTTACGTACTATACCATGTGGTGTATTTTACTCTTGTTTTTCATGTAACGAATATTTACACCTATAAATTCACCAACGGTCTTGAACCTCAAGAAATCCATAGACGGGGATTATTCCGTCCAGGCTCTTAACACCGAGCTGATATAGCTCCTCAAAGTGTGAGTGTGAATATAACACCTTTGTTCTTGTGGAATTATATCGTTCATACATACTGTACCATTATTTGTATTTTTGTTTCTCTTTTTTTTTTTAAGTTACTCTGCTGGCCAGTATTTCTACAAAACGTATGTACATTTTCTGATTTTTAGCGCTGTTCACCTTTCTATTTTATATATCTTACCATCAAGGCCGTCTATAATGTCACTAATAAAAATATTAAAGAGAAGAGGTCCGAGTAAAGACCTCTGATGTACCCCACTGGTCAGGGCAGGCACGTCCATAAGACAGCACAAGAGGCCGCCTAAGGGTACACCGGACCTGTGGACGCTAGATTAGAGTGACCGGCAGGAGGTGGGAGCACAGCACTCCCTCCTGCTAGCCACTCTGTGTAGCGTGGCTGAGCGGAGCAGTGTGCACCGCGGTACAGGAACTTCTGTTTCCTGTACCCGGCCAGACTGAAAGGAAGTGCTTCCTGTCAGTCCGGCCGTGTACAGGAAACTGAAGCTCCTGTACCGCGGTCTGCTCCACTCGGCCACGCTACAAGAAAGGTAGGAGAAACACTCCTTTTGACCAAGCAGGTTTTCTACTTCATCACACCATGATCCCCACTTCTAAGTACAAGAAGTCCATAACTATCCATAGTTAAACAACTGGTCCCTTTATACCCATCCTTTCTGTGCAAGATAGAATCTAGGTATATACAGGGATATGGGGCCAATAGCTGTCTCAAAGGACTTTCAACAATTCCTGACTTAAAATAATGTTTTTTCAAGTGGAACAACTGCCCAAGTGTGCCTTTCATGGGCAGGGACTTCTTCTTTCTGCCTTAAACTCCTTAAAAGTGAGTCTCATATAATTATTCCCTTCCAACAATCAGGTTTATTTCCTAGAGCATGTTGATAAACCCTCCCCCCACCAAAAAAATAATAATAGCATTATCTATGATGATATTAACTTGCCAGCACTTCCAGATTGCTATGCAAAAAAACTAAAAAAAAAAAAAAAAATCCTTCTACAACCTTTATAGAAAAATAAAGCCATAGCAACACTGGATAATATTTCATAGATAGGGAAAGAAATGTACACTTGTAAAATGTATATATTTTTTGCATTAAGCCAATGCCTGCTCAGGGTAGGTGTAGTAATTTGTGAGGCTACAGAGTAATTAGCAGTAGGCATTCTTAACTAAATATTTTGGTTTGGTCTGACTGAATTTCAACCATGTGGCGTCTTTGGATGAATTTCGCCCATTCAGTTGCTTTGACAAACCAAAATGTTTTGAAAATGTCCTATTAGTGTACTTCAATTAAAGAAAAAATCAGCTTCTCCATTCCTTCACCCTTTTTTGATGCCACAACTCTGAATCACAGAACAACAAAACAGCTTGTCACTTGCCCATTATGTTTGTTTCTTCATAAATGGTTCATCCATATGGCGATTCTGAGTTGCGGAATTTGGACAAATTGACGATTGCCCCAAATTCAGATGAATTTACACTTAACAATTGATCTGTCTGGGATTTATGTGACAAATTGATTTGTTTGACGCAGATTCATGGCTGGCGCATCCATAAGGTGGCACAAGCGGCGCGCCGGCCCGGGGGGCGTTAGATTAGAGTGACCGGCAGTAAGTCCTCCTTCAAGACACCGTGTGTAGCGTGGCCAAGCGGAGCAGTTTGCACCGGGGCACAGGAACTTCTGTTTTCTCTACCTGGCCAGACTGAAAGGAAGTGCTCACTTAGAGAGCACTTCCTGTCAGTCCAGCCAGGTACAGGGAACTGAAGCTCCTGTACCGCGGTCTGCTCTGCTAGGCCACACTACAAGAAAGGTAGAAGACACACTGGGGACCAAGGGGGGGAGAGAGAGGGGCTCTAAGGGACGGGGAAGGAACACTATGGGATGGGGTAAAAAGAACACTATGGGGAGGGAGAGGCGGGGAAAGAACACTACTAGGACAGAGGGAGGGGGGGGGGAAGAACATGGGATGGGGAGAGGGGGAAGAACACTATGGGACAGGGGAGGGGGGAGAAAACTATGGGATAGGGAAGGTGGGAAAGAACAATATGGGGGAGGGGTGGGAAGTACACTATGGGAAAAGGGAGGGACGAGAAAAACACTAAAAAAGAGGGAGGGGAGAGAGGAACATTATGGGGGGACACTAAGGTACAGAGGAGGGAAGGAAAAAGGACCACTGGGGTTGGGGGGGGACCACTAAAAGAGAAGGGAGAGGAACCCTAGGGGGGTGGGAGGAACATTAGGGGAATAGGGGGCACTAAGAGACAGGTAAGGGGTGGAAGAGACACACTAAGGGACTGGGAAGGGAGGGGAAAGGAACACTAAGAGACAGGAAAGAGAATCACTAATCAACAGGAAGGGAAGAGGAAAGGACCACTAATGGACATGGCGGGGAGGAGAGAGGAACACTAAAGACCATGGATGGCAGAATTGCACACAGGGGTGTCACGTATTCATCCGCTTATAAAAATGTGGTTAATGACATTTACTGTCCACACAGGAAAAGTTGTGCCGAGTAGCAACCTAATCCACGGAAGGGTTAATGCTGAGCAGCAATTATGCAAATGGTAACCTGGTAACTGACTTTGGGGTCAAAGGCCGGTTACAGCCTATCAGATCTAGAGGAGGGATATTTAGGCCCAGTTCTCATCCTGTTCAGTGCCCTGTCGTGGTTATTTGACTTTAGTGTGTTTTGAATGTTTGTGTTAGTGTGTGTGTCAGTGATGTGTCTGTTATTGGGTGTGTGTCTGCTAGTGAGTGTGTTACACAATGTGTGTCTGTTACTGAGTGTGTTTGATGTCTGTTAGTGAGTGTGTGTTTGTCAGTGAAAGTGTATGTTTTGTAAGTGAGTGTGTATGTATGTCTGTCGCTGAGTGTGTCTCTGTCAGTAAATGTGTGTGTCTGTTAGCTAGTGTGTATGCGTCTGTTCGTGAGAGTGTGTGTGTGTATGTCTTTAGCATTTACCTTTCTCCAGCGTCGGACTTCCTTGGCGCTGGGGATCCCTCCGCCTCTCAGCTCCGAATGCACATGTGCGGCAAGAGGCGCATGCGCATTTAAACCGCCCATAGGAAAGCATTACTCAATGCTTTCCTATGGACTTCAGTGTCTTCTCACTGTGATTTTCACAGTGAGAATCGCGGAAGCTCCTCTAGCAGCTGTCAATGAGACAGCCACCAGAGGCTGGATTAACCCTCAGTGAAACATAGCCGTTTCTCTGAAACGGCTATGTTTTCAGCTGCAGGGTTAAAACTAGAGGGACCTGGCACCCAGACCACTTCATTGAGCTGATGTGATCAGGGTGTCTGTAGTGGTCCTTTAAGTGTGTGTACATACCGCGGTCGCGGGGTCGCAGCCCTGCAACCCCTGCGACCAGGTGCCCGCCGCCATGTGTTGTGGCCGCGCGGGGGGGCCCACGGATCAATTTTCGCACCGGGGCCCCATGGATCATGTGTACGCCACTGCATAAAGGGTCTGGAGGCATTAAAGACACACAAAAGGGGGTATTAAGAGATACACAAGGGAGGTGTAAGACACACAATGGGGAAAAATAGGGGTTACGATAGACTAAAGGGGGTAAGACATTTTAAAAAGGGGATAAGAAACAAAAGGCTGGTTAAGAAGCATACAGGTGAAGATGCTTTTTTGGGGGGGGGGGAGTCGCCAAAATCATCTTCGCCTGTGTACACATATATCCTTGCACCGGCCCTGCCATTGGTAACAGGACCTTGCTTCAAATATACTCCATTGACTACAACCCTCTGTTGCCTGTCACTCAGCAACTGCCTAACCCATTCAATAATATTGGAATCCAAACTTAAAGATTGTTGTTTATTGATGAGCCTTCTATGTGCAACAGTGTCAAAAGCCTTACTGAAATCTAGGTAAGCAATGTCTACTGCACCACCCTGATCTATTATTTTAGTTAACTAATCAAAAAATCAATAAGATTAGTTTGGCATGATATCCCTGAGTAAACCCATGTTATCTCTGATCTTGAAATCCAATGTTCAATAATCCTATCCTTTAACATGGTTTCCATCACTTCCCCAGTACTGAAGTAAGGCTTACTGGCCTATAGTTGCCCGACTCCTCCCTACTACCTTTCTTGTGAATAGGCACAATATTTGCTAATTTGCAATCTCCTGGCACTACGTCTGTTAGCAATGATTGGTTAAATAAATCTGTTAATGGTTTTGCTATAACACAACACTAAGTTCTTTTAATAACTTTGGGTGTATTCCATCAGGTCCCATTGGCTTATTTGTCTTTACTTTTGACAGTTGAAATAGAACCTCTTCCTCTGTAAACTCACATGTAACAGATTACTCATTTGTCCTTTTTTCCTAACTGAGGTCTCTTTCCTTCATTTTCATCTGAACCTGATTATCAATACAAAAATGTCAGGTTTTTGATGTGCATGTGTGACAACTCTATCTACCATCTCCCTTCTGTGATGATTAAACCACTTTGTGCTTCTAAACAAGTTGGCGTCTAATTTCTAAATCCCTTTTCTGTTCGAGCCCTGCATGTGATTTAACCACTATATCAGTTCTTGTCAAACATCTGTTGAAAAAGGGATATAGTATTTCAGACCTGTTTGTAAAATGCATTGTTTTCAGACTCTGAGGAACCTGGTAATGCACTACTCAAAAAATATTTACTGTATAGACTCTGGCACATGACCTCAGTCCTTGCTATTTTTTAAAATGACATTTGATCCATTAATAAAGCGGGACATATTTCCTGCTTTTATTTCTTTTAATTAGCATTCTGGAAGATTTAGAGATACTGATTATATATCTATTACAAATTCTATTAATTCTATGGTACTTGAATGAAGATAATTTTCTTTGCTTTATAGTAAAAGATTGCACTGTCACTTCTAATGATCATGTTGTTTCACTGTATCCAAAACCCATGACATTATTCAATATTTTTTAAGCAAACTATTAATCAAACTCATTGACTTGTCAGTAATGCTACCAATGACTTCAACAATGTCATTAAATTCCAAAGAACAAAACAAAAGGAAGTCAATCAAAAGGCCATTTCTTTTTACCCAAAAAGCTGAAGAAATGGATGAGGAATATTGGAATTCACTGGGGAATCCAGAGTCCCAGGGACACTGTAAAATTATTTATTTTCAGTGCAGATAAATATATATATATCGTATTACTGTTTGAGTGGGAAAAAAAGAGCTAAATTACAATAAAACTCACAAACTGTACCGTGAACATAGGAGTTTATTGGTGTGAAGTGTCACTGTGTGTGTGAATGATTGTGTAGAGTGTTAGTTTGTGTGTATATGTGAATGCAGAGGTGTGGCACGTCGAGAGTTGATATACGTTTGTTAACGCATGGGTGGCAAGGCATACATAGGGTGTTTGACACCTGTCACTCACTCAAACACAATTACACTCTCAAACACACACAACTGCACCCTAAAAACACACAAAAGTCAATTACATCCTCAGAAACACACATACAAATGCACTCTCAAATAAATCCTTAAATACACACAGGCACAATTCCACCATAAGAATCAGTACAATGAGCACTTGGCTAAGCCTAAGTTTGCCTTTTTGCAATGTTTAGTAGGACCAGGTCCTCTTCCCTTCTGGCTCCATGCAGAGCAGCATGTCCTGATCCTCCTCTATTCCATTTTTTAAATATAATTCTTTATTTTTGCAGTGCAGGGTTAGGTATACAGGCTTGCATGAACATTGTAAAAGACTGACTGCAGTATAAAGCACAGTGATATGACACGATATTAGGAAAAATTGCACTGTTTTTTAAATATATATATATATAAATGACATGGTAGATCGGTATGTGTCAAACGATAATTCAAACAATATAATAAAAACTAAGCTGAGTCTAGTGACAACATAAATATCAACTTGTGATAGAATACCCACCAGGAAACTTATTTCTAACGTTTTAGTTGGGTTAGGTGGCTGGTGGGAACTAAAAACAAAAGAAAAGTAGGCATGCTTCAGTATGTGTGCTTGTCAGCGAAAGGCTATCACAAATCAAGCTAAAGACAAGCTTTAATCTAACTGACAGTGTTATGCATCTCAAATAAAAGTGAGAATTGAGTTTGACTGAGTAACTGTTTTACCATCGATAAGCATGACATTTTAGTACCACTGGATACATCTCACTAGGAGGAGTTCAAAAAAGAGAAAATGCAAGAGAAAAAAAAAGGAAAATACAAGAAAAGTAAAAGTGAAATTAAGCGAACAGGAATGGGTAGATATAAGCAGGAGAGCTGTTGCACAGATCTATAATATGCGACAGGTGGGCCACGCCCGACAGTCGTTATATGCCTCCGTTCTGTGCTCTGCTTTCAGCCGGGTTTCAAGCTTGCATATCCAGGATGGTGTGCTGCAGACAGGTGTTGTCTTTCCCGAAGGCCCATGGTTTAAAGGGAACCACTTCGGCTTCCACAGGGGGTCTTCCTGCTGCATGCGGTAGATTTGCGGGCCCTTGAGAGATTCGGAGTACGGAGGACCCGTCGTGAGGCTGGGCGAGTGGTGAGTATTACCTTTATATGGGTACCCTGCCCAGGGTGAGGTCGGCGCTCCAGCGTGGTTGCTTGGGGCACAGGCTTCATGGGCTTGGTAGCTGCAGAGCTTCGGCTCTGGATTCTCCTCCAGAACTTTCGGCACAGACATTCAAAGCGGGCATTGAAGTGGTCTCTCCAAACTTGGCGTGATGAGCTTTTCTGTAGGTGAGTACATTAAAGTGCGACGGCCATCTTGGCCGCACCAGGCAGTGTTTTCTTTGCCCTGAGTTGCTGTTGTAGCGAGATGCCTCCAGTGGTGAGTGTCCCCAGTGAGGACCGGGATATCCATAGGGGGTGGTACGGGGCTGTAAGCTGGTCATCATGTGGAATTAGCTCTATGCCGTGGGGTCGACTGCCTCCCCTGATCACTAGGCCGCATGTTGAGGCAGTCTTGAGAGATATCTCCACAGGGTTGCACTTGGTTTATGGAGGTTTTAAGCTTGGGTGCGGCTTCAGGTAGTGGGATTGCGTGCTAGAAAGCTTATTTAGGGTGCCTGTATGCCGGAGCACTCAGAGGACACATTTGGCCATCTTGGCTGCCAGGTCCCGCCCCCCTCGATCTTCCCGTATTCTGTTCCTCTCCAGTGCAGAAGGTACTGGCCCAACTCTCTTCTTTTCTAGCTACCTCCTCTTCCTACTTTACTTACAGGAGGTTGCATGGGTTTATGATGGTCATGTCATAGCTCTGTCAACTCTCTTCAGATTGGCCCAGCGGCTCTGAGCTTCTGAAGCTATGCCACTGAACTGCAGCTCAAAAAAAAGGAATATTATTATTATATTATGTAAAGGGCTTTCCCATAGGGAAAGCATTGGATTGGCTAAAATTGGCACGGGGTAGGGCCAAATGTCATTTTGGCCAATCAGGACCTCCTGATAGAGATGCATTGAATCAATGCATCTCTATGAAGAAAATTCAGCGTCTCCAAGCAGAATGTAGGGACGCTGAACAGCAGGGCTGCTTATTGTGCCCTGAGCCAGAAAGCCTCTCCAGTGGCCATCTGAGGAGTAGTCACTTGTAGGTGTCCCTAGGGGCAATGCAAACACATGAAAATACCCGAGGGGAGCTATTATACTTACTGGAACAACTACATTAAGCTGTAGTTGTCCTGGTGACTATAGTGTGCCTTTAAAATTGTTTCCCTCAAGAAAATAATTAAAGTGTACAACACAGCAGTATATATAGGTGAATCTCAGGTGAAAAATCCAAAACAACCCATCATAACATCAAGTTTAACATTTCATATGTTCATACACAAAAGCACCTTACTAGCTATTGCAATGGCAGACTAGTTGCCTAGTTTGTGATCTATAATTGTTCGCAAGTAATTTTCATGTAATGTTATCCCTATCTCTACCCCATTTAATGTATAAGTGGCTTGTGGGTTATTTATCCCAAAATGACTTTGTATTTATCTATATTTATCTGTATTGAATCTCATCTGCCACTTGCCTGCCCAGTCATCCAATTGATTCAAATCCCTCTGTAGAGAAATAAATGTTAATGTTCAGAATGTATTTTATTACCTAGTTTTGTGTCATCAGCAAACACTGACAAATGGCTTTCAATATCTACTTCAAGATAATTTCTAATAATGATCATTTATAAAGATCCCTTATTCCTTGGGTGGGTAAAGTGAGGATAATGAGTAGAACACTGAGTGTTTTGATCATGCTATGGATGCAATAGAGATGTCACATTGCGAAGAGCTGTCCCATGTACACAACACATGTCCAGTGTGTACAGTGGTCTCTACCAGTGGGGTTAATGGCCCTCCAGCAATCATAGAGGTCCTGTTTCTGGAGGGGAGCAAATAGTTTGGCGCTAATGGCTACCAACCTGGTGGGGGGTCTCCTGTTCAGCTCTGTGTCCAGGACACAGTTAAAGTCCCCTCAAACAGTGGGTTTGCCTGAAGAGATTCAACTTTTTAAAATATTTGGCCAGGAACTGAATTTGGCCATCACTGGGGACATACAGATTAACAATTGTGACCTAGATATCGTTAAGAAGGCCTACTACTAGCAGAACTCTCCCCTCCTTGTCAGAGAACCTATGTTGCAAGGTAAATGCCCAGTCTTTGTGTATTAACACTGATACCCCCTTGATTTTAGTGGGTGTGTAAGTGTGAAAGGTTGTGAGGAAGGCAGGGGGATTGCGTCTGCAGATGTGTGTTTCTTGGATCCACTGCCACCCTTCTTCATTTACCTCCTTAAAAATCCTCCTCCTTTCATGGAGGGTGTTCAATTCCTTGGCATTGAGAGTCATAATTTTAAACATGGTCATTGGAACTAAATTTGGATACTTCCAAGCTGAAGGGTTGGCATGGCCCCTGTGTTCCCAGGTTGCTCCACTCATGCTGTACCATGCCTTACTCAGGACCAACCCTGATGGGGTTTGTTTTTTTTTAGGACCATTTAGTGTGCTGATCGATTGGATAGCATAGAGCAGGGGTCCTCAAACTCCAGCCCAGATGTTGCTGAACTACAACTCCCATGATTCTCTGGCTATCTATGTAATTCAAAGAATCATGGGAGTTGTAGTTCAGCAAAAACTGGGGGGGGCGGAGTTTGAGGACCCCTGGCATAGAGCAAAGCAAGAAAAAATATTTTAACATAAAATAACTGAAAATAAAGTATGCACAACACATGTTATGATGATATCATTAGGACCATAGGGCTGGGCTCCCTTTTATTCCTTCAAATTATTTACCATTTGGCCCTAAGCCCCAAGAATGACTGCCCTAGATCAAGAGTGGTAATTTATTCTGCTTATTGGTTCTAGTGTTAAGGCTCATCTAGGTATCTATTTCTTTAAAATCAAATGTGCTGTCAAACTGCGCATACTGCAGAGGGCATCATGCTCTGGTAAGAAAAACTATAACTTTTTCAAAGTGCTGTAAATGAACTGCCCAACAACATTCTCACACATTAGAGTCTTTATAGATTAAACCTGTAGATCTCAGCATGGCGATCGTACTTTTTGCCAGTCTGGTGGAACTTTTGTTGTTGTGGGAGTCCCAGATGATTTTCCCATGTGAGGAGTTGAGGTTCCAGTCCCAAGTGGAGGCCATCACCAGGTGAAGAGATAGTATGTTGTTTGCCATTACGCCACATCAGAAGAAGCATTGAGAACCTACAATGGTAGAGTATATTGTTCTCGAGTAGAGTTTTCGTTACCATGACAAATTTGTGCCTGCTTGCTAACGTGTGGGAGGACAGGTGAGTATTTAGGGTGATGTCAGCATACGGTTCAGGCAATTTCCCCATTTTCCAGGCACTTTTCAACAGAGATTCCTTGATGTGGTAAAATAGGAGCCTGACCAGCACATCTTGGGTCGCTGTCAGTACCTTAGGCTTTGGCTCTGTCCAAGAGCAAATCCCTTTCATCTGCACCCTGGCAAAGCAGTTTAAAAAGTCAAACAGTATAAGCTGGTAGATCTGGAAGCCCTACTGACTCTGGTATCCCCCTCAGCCTGATATTGTTCTTCCTGGAATGATTTTCCAAATCAGCTATCTTTCACAGAAGCACTGTGTAGTTGGATTCTAATGCAGGCACTTTGTCAACCAGCTCATTATGAGCTGTGCACATCTCATCACCTTTTGCCACCAGATGGTCTTTGCTGCTCCCCACCTCCCTCAGCTCACTTCTGAGCTCTGCAGCAACTGATTTAAAATCTGGCAACAGGGTGAATCTGAGGGTGTTCAATGTAGCTTGTACCTCTCTTCCTGAGGCTGGTGAGTGTCCCACTGGAGGGTAGGTGAACTCCGATTCCGATGAGGAACTCCATGAGTTCCGCTCGCAGTGCCGCTTTGGTCTTGTTGGCAGCCGGCTGCCCTCGGTTTTCCAGGAGGTCTTTGAGGGTGGAGTTCTTCAATCCTTTATAGCGCTGATCCATTTGTCGCTGGTTCCACTCCAGCTCCAAGGAAGGGGACTATTCCACCGCTGCCACCATATGTGGCGGACTGCCTGGTACCTCAACTGGGTACCTCCGCCAATCACGCTTCCTAGTTATCACCGAGTACCATAAGCACTTCGCCGGGTCACCATAAGCACTTCCAGACCCTAGCCACCGCAGCTTGGTTGGCCTCTACCCTCCCTGGACCCAGGCCCTGGATCCAGCTCACAGTGGTTAGAGCTCTCCTCCAGAGAGTATACCTGTATAGCAAGTGATTATAGCAAGTATAGCATTCCCCCCACACATTACCGAGACTTAATGCTCGAAATAGACTTTTTATTCAGGGCCACACACGGCCTTCTTAGGCAAAAGCCCCTAGCCCCATGTTCATCCCTCCCATAATCCTCTGTGCCTGAGAGAGAATTCAGTTCCCCCTCAGGTATAGAGAAATCCACTTACGCAAAAGCCCCTTGCAAGGGGTTTCCATCCCATCCACCCAGGGCAATCCCTCCTATGAGTCTCTGTGCTTGAGAGGCAATCTAGTCCCCTCTCAGGTACAAAGAAATCCTTTTATTTTGTCACACATGGTTTGTTAGATTACATTCAGAAAAGGAAGGGGGAGGGGGAGAGGCACAGACAAGCAATACATTCAGAAAAGGAAGGGGGAGTGGGAGAGGCACAGGCAAGTAATACAATGTTAAATAGTCCTGACCTAAACCCCATAAGCAGGCAAGCATGTGGACATGGTACGCAGTGACAGTGTCCCGTCACACCTACAATCACTGTGGCCACTGTCCACCCACTTTGCCAAAAAAGTCAAATACAGATTACTCATTTTATTACCACTTCTAAGACTCCTCCGCTGGAGCCACTCTCTCTGCTTCTAATCTTGTCCAATCCAATGATTATAGAGATGCATTGGTAGAGAGGTACACATGTTCAGCTGAACTCCACACTCTTTCGATCAATTGCTGCTGTAGCCAACACAACTAATGAACAAAATCAATTTGAAAAAAAGTAATGAAGGACAAAAATTAATTCAGGGTTGGAACGACCATCTGGGGTTGCTGTATCCATCGTGCAGAGGTGGCCAGTCTGCATTTTGGAGCTGGACCACCCTTTTAGGTGGGATCAGTATGATATGCAAATGGTTTAGGTTCTCTCTCTAATGGCACTAGATGAGCTAATATCAGCTTGAGAACTGAGCAGGACGCACCAAAGGGCAAGCTATTTGTCAGTTCTCAATATTCTTTTGCACCCTGCTTTTGTTTGTTTACTCTCCTTAAAGGAACACTATAGTCAGCTAAACAACTTTAGCTTAATGAAGCAGTTTCAGTGTATAGATCATGCATCTCAGGTTTTGCTGCTCAATTCACTGCCATTTAGGAGTTAAATCACTTTGTTTCTGTTTATGCAGCCCTTGCCACAACTCCCCTGACTCTGATTGACACAGTCTGCATGAAAAAAACTAGTTCCACTTTCAATCAGATGTAATTTACCTTAAACAATTGTATCTCTTTCTCTGTAAATTGAACTTTATTCACATACAGGAGGCTCTTGCAGGATCTGGCAAGCTATTAACATAGCAGGGGATAAGAAAATCCAAATTAAACAGAACAATAAAGGAAGGATAGACTTTAGATGACTCTTTACATGAAGTGTTTAGGAAGGTTGTGCAAGTCACATGCAGGAAGGTGTGACTAGGGTTCATAAACAAAGTTATTTAACTCCTAAATGGCAGAGAATTGAGACTGCAGGGACACGATTTGTACACCAAAACTGCTTAATTAAGCTAAAGATGTTTTGGTGACTATAGTGTCCCTTTAAGGTAAAAGGGTAATCCAGACGTGGACCCTTGCTCACTGCGCCTAAAGGGGTGTCAGCTAAATCTCACTGACAAGGCCTGATGAGGCCTAACAAGGCTGAAACAATCGTATGTGTTGCTGTATCTCTTGTGCAGAGGGAGCTAGCCTGCATTTTAGATCTGGGACGCCCTCTTGGGTGGAAATGGTTCTCTCTGTAATGCCACAAGAAGAGAAAAAAACTTGCTTGCGAACTGAGTGGGGAGCTATCTAAGGGCAAGCTATTTGAGTTGTTCTCAAGAGGTTCTTGCACCTGTTTTAGTTTGTTCCATCATAAAAAACACATATTGTTAAAAACCATAAAATGAAGAACAATGTACAAAAATATATAAATAAGCCCAAAATAAAATATCGACAAGTTTAATTAAATGACCTCCATATTCAATTTAGAAAATAACTAAACTGAAGATATGGATTATTATAAAATAAAAATAAAAATTATCTAAACAAATTTAATAAGCAGCATCAGGAAATATAAATGTTTAGTAAAATTAAATGTAATTGCAATGCCCTGAATTAAGCAAAATAATACAATATAATACATACTGCAATATAAAGTTTAATTTCCGTGCAAGTGCATTTCAATTACATTAAGAGCTACTGCAAATCATGCAGGCTTTTATTACAAGTTGTGGATGACATCAGCTGTCAATCAAATTATATTGACTGACGAGTGCAAAATATAGAGAGCTGCTTTTGCACAATAGCTCATTAGAATTACAGGAGAGCCTTGTCACTACTTTACTTTTGATGTAACATATAACTTATGTAATGATAAATTAAGAATGAAAACATGACACATCAGAGAAAGACTAAAATCAGCCAGGCCGCTAGGCAGGATACCAAATTGGGGCCCCTACCTAGATCTTATGATTCTGTTCTGTGTGTGATGGCTCAATGACCCTCTCGCAGCAACATTTATTTAGTTTGTAACACTGTGTCATGGTGTATACCAGAGCTCCACAGCAATAAAACTTACAGTAATGTATCTTTAAATTATAATCAATGTTTATATAAGTCAATCTGTGTAAATAAGATACATTGTTCTTGTTCTAAATTGCATTTTAGTTGCATAAATTGATAGTAAGTCATATATTTTCTCAGAACAGCCCCGCCACTGACTACACCCCCACTCACTTTCTACACCAGTTACTTTTTTTTTTTTTTTTAAAGGTTTTTAATATACTCTACTTCACTTTATGGCATAGAAACCAAAATGATTCAGATGAATAAAAAATAATGATAGGGGCGGAGCCTGACCGCCAAGCTGAACAGACGTGGGGGGAAAGAGCTCCTGCCGGGTGGGCAGAAAACAGGGCACAATCGGAGGCTACATAGCCTAAAGACACACCAGGGTGCACTACCCACATCGGGGGTGCACTCCTGTATCGGGTGATACCTTTTTGGAGCCTGTCAGAGCTGAAAGAATGAAACGCTAGCTGCGGCCTGCTGGAGTTGGAGCCGGGGAGAGCCGGCTGCTCTCTCCGACACCAGATCCCCCTGGAAACTTTGCTGAGCTCCTACCCCCCACCCCCTCTGGACCAGTGGGGGATATCCCGGTCCCCCACTGGACAAGCGGAATAAGACGGTATACAAGTAATTACACAGCCAGCAAGGGCCAAGGAGAGGGAACACGGACAGCCATTCACCTTCTCACCCCCTGGAAGCCCTTGACCGGCTCTGCTTGAGCTTCTGCACAACACTGTGTGACAGGGGAGTGACCTACCGTCGAGTGGCTCGAGTGGTGGCCTCGTGGATTCGTCCTGCAACCCGCCAACGCCATTATGGAATCCCACTCCAAGCCTTCAAAGCGGCCATCCTGCAAAGGCGGGAAACAGAGTCAAGCGACCCGGGCGCACGTACCCGCTCCCACACACACAGGAACAGGACCGCTGGGCAACCCCAAAGTTCCAGCAACCCACCCAAGCACAGAATCTGGGACCAGCGAGACACCACACTGCACTCCAGGGCTAAAGCTGTGTACCACACCGCTGTAAAGGAGAAAACCACGCAGAAACAAGCTAGAGCTGGACCCAAGCCCAGGGACTCCATATCGGTCAAAGAGACTATCTACCTACAGTGGCCCACGTGTGGGGTTGGTTGACTCCGGGTTAACACCGTTCCCAACTAATTAGGCACTGCAGACTCTCCAGACCCATGACGAGAAACAAGTTTTTATTATATATTATGTTATGCCTTACCAACACCCTTTTCTTTCCTGCTTAGTGCCTAATAGCACCTTTTGTACCCCACGGCTAATATTAGCGAGCTACTTACCAGTCTCTAACATACACAGATACACACAAACTCCTGTCCTACCACTAGTATACTCTACAATTGCGCTGAGCATCATATAGATATAAAGCAAGCAACGAGACTGACCTAAATTGTTTTGAATTTTAATGCTTCATCTACTCAGTGTCTCTCTGTATAAGCCTGCGCTTAGTCTATTGTATTTTACGTTCTCTAGCATGTATAGCAAGTTATGTGCTCTAAGCTGCACAGTATCACTATTTGACAATATTCTGACAACCTACTTAAGCCCACTCTGTTACTAACTGTTGATCAATATAATATAAAATTTTGCATGTCCAATCTCTCACCCCAAATGTAAAACTTGAACGGACGCTAGAGGATTGCCGTTGGGGTACCTCGAGCCTGATTGTACTTATTCTATGCACTGCTTTTTGGTGCATAGAATGCACTGCTTTGTGGTGCATAGTGGCTTTTTGGTCTAGATCTGGGGTGGCCAAAATGTAGCTCCCCAGATTTTGTAGAAGTAGATCTTTCATGATGCTTTGTCATTCTAAAGCTTTCTATAGGCATGCAAAGTATCATGGGAGTTGTAGTTTTACAACATCTGGGGATCTACCTCTTGGGCAACCCTGGTCTAGACGCATTTTGTACATGCAATCATTTTCAGAAAAACTATTTGGACAAATGTAAATATGTCAATAGTTTTACAATACATTGATACTTGTATTTCTTGCATTTAGATCACCCAAAAAAGCACCTGTTTTGCCTTGATAAATCCTCCCCCCACACACACCATGTCTTTAAAATAGGTGGTGGATTAGTCCTGTCTACCCAGCAATGATTGACTAGAGATTCAAATTGGGAGGATTGAAGCACCTCTGT